CTGACAGAAAGCTGCACCACCACCATTTCTCCCGCCCTTCCCCCCACCAGCTCTTGCCCCGATGCCAGACAATTCAGTTTCTCCTTGTATGTCCCTCATTCTTTTAAGCTGTGCTGGAGCTCAGGGGGAGTGAGTTAGAGTTAAGTCCATGCATAAGCCCTTTAAGAGGAACTGCCTCCGACTCCAGCAGCTTTCTGTGTCACTCAGCCACAATCCCTACTGGTTTTTATAGCCAGAAGTTAATGGGACTTCTCTTTCTAGTTCTGGAACCCTGGGCTGGGAGGCCTGGTGTGAGGGTAGGACTCCTCCCTCCTCAGGGAGGACCTATACAGCCGAAAAATCCCTCCCAGTTTTAAACCACCATACATAGGTTTTGAGTTTTCACCCCTCCTACTAGTCCCAATGTGGCTTCTTTAAATCCCTAGTTAAGGACTTCCATTCGGCTGGAGTTCAGGCAGTTCAGAATGACAGTTTATCTGTAGCTGAGTTGTAATTTTGATGTGGATATGGGAGGATTCGAGTACCACATTTTTTAAAAATATTTTATTGAGTTTTACAGAGTGGAAGGGAGAGGGATAGAGAGGTAGAAACATTGATGGGAGAGAAACATCGATCAACTGCCCCCTGCACACCTCCTACTGGGGATATGCCCACAACCAAGGTACATGCCCTTGACCAGAATCGAACCTGGGACCTTTCAGTCTGCAGACCGACGCTCTATCCACTGAGCCAAACCGGTTAGAGCTCGAGTACCACATTTACCTACACTGCTTTCTTGACCTGAAGTCTTGTTTTTTAATTTGTTTTTTTTGTTTGTTTGTTTGGGGGGGGGGGGGATAGAAACATCAATGATGAGAGAGAATCATTAATCAGCTGCCTCCTGCATGCCCCCTACAGGGGATTGAGCCTACAACCTGGGCATGAGCTCTGACAGGGAATCAAACCGTGACCTCCTGGTTCATAGGTCAGTGAACCTCTCTGGCTGGGCTTGATCGGAAGTCTTAGTGTCATTTTTCAAAATGGTTTACTTTCTCATCTCCCAGAGTATCTCCACTAATTTTGTTAAAGTTAAAATCCCAAACCTTGAGTGCTATTTTTAGTTTACCTGTGGCTTAACTTCATGCCCCAGAAGTAACTGACTTTTGGCCAGAAATCAAGTGGCATGCATGACTGGAAAGTAGCATGTGACTGCCTGCCTTCGTGACACATTTGCCAGAAAAGGGGACTTCCCCTCTACTAAGGAGGCATATACTAGTATTGACTGGGATGACCTTATAAAATTATTTATTTTTACTATAAATCCTGCCAGTAGAAGTAGTATTCTACCTACAAGCTGTCTCAGGGGTAAAAGTATAATTAGTTGCTTTTCTCTACTTTTGTTTTACTCTGTTCCTTCTAGTAACTAGTTGGTCAGTAGAAGGGCAGGATGATATTGACTCCAGTTAGAGCAACTGGGAACCTGGGGCTTAGAGTCACAGATGTTGGTTTGAATCTTGCCACTTACTGGCTGTTACTTTGAACTTCAGCATATTTATCTTTTGAAATAGGGTTAGTAGCCCTAGCCAGTTTGGCTCGGTGGATAGAGCATCAGTCTGTAGACTGAAGGGTCCTGGGTTCAATTCTGGTCAAGGGCACAAGCCAGAGTTGTGGGCTTGATCCCTAGTAGGGGGTATACTGCAGGAGGTAGCCAGCTGATCAATGATTCACTCTCGGGTGGGGGGGTGGTGTAAGAGATGAACCGAAGGACTTGTGTGCATGCATACGAGCATAACCAATGGACACAAGACACTGGGGGGGCATGGGAGGCTAGGGGAGGGGGAAAAAAGGAGACATATATAATACTCTTTGTAATACTTTAAGCAATAAAACAATAAAATAAAATAAAAATGATTCACTCTCATCATTGATATTTCTCTCTCTCTCTTCCTCTCCCTCTCTGAAATCAATAAAAATATATTTTAACAAAATAAAACAAAAGTAGGGTTATTATGGGATACCAAGTGGAAATCATGAGATCTGGCACATAGTAGGTGATTAGTGAATGTTAACTTTCTCCATGGAAAATTATCTACCAGATTGTCATTATGTATTTACAAAACTAGCTGAAGCATGTTTCCTGCTAGCTCTAAGACAGTCACCCACACATTCTGGAATAAGTCTCCACCAAGTCCATATTCCTTCATCTGGGCTAACATATATCAGGTAGAACAATAGAGTAAGTCTGAAGTAAAGTTATGGACATTCCCTACTTTAATTAAGATCTTGGGGCAAGGAAAAGGGATCCAAATAATGCAATGCTGTGAACAAAAAGATCTGTGATCTTTGCCCTGTGATATGGAAAAAAAGGTCCACTACCAACCTGGCCTACTTGATCTCTCATTGTTAAACAAGTTTTGCAGCTCCTCGTATAGTAGGCTGTGACATAATGGTGGGAAATGAACATAAGAGGTAATGTTGAGGTGCAAGAGAAAGGGTTTGAGATTGCTCACCTCCTCTTACTAATTCTGTCTTTAGTATGCATGTTGCCCTTGAACCTTGTGTTCCATGCATGACTCAGTCTCCCTTTTGGTTTTAAGGTCCTATAACTCCTGCCTCAACATGCTGCTTTGTTTGCCATCCTAGCTGGGAAGGTGAATTGGTTTAGTGTCATTTCAGCAAGTCCAAGCCTGTTTTTCAGATGGTACTTACCAAAGTATGGTGGACAAATTGGGATTGTGGGACTAGATGCCAGAAAATAGAACCTAGAAAAATAGTGGCAGCTTTGAAGGAAGGAAGGAAGGAAGGAAGGAAGGAAGGAAGGAAGGAAGGAAGGAAGGAAGGAAGGAAGGAAGGAAGGAAGGACTAAAGGCAAAAACAAAACAACAACAAAATAGTTCTAGCTTTTAGGAAGTTTTTAAAAATCCTTTTTTTTTAGTTTAAACACCAAGGACACTTAAGTTAAACATTTGGCTGAAGCCCTTATGCCAGAGCAGTTGCTGACAAGATTGGGAGCAGAGCTGAGCTGAGTTGAGACACTGTGGCCTGTCCCTCATTTCACCCTGTCTCACCATAGTTCTCCTGGGCTTGTATTTTGTTACTTCTTCTTATGCATCACTAAAGAGGCTAAGGATGGCGTTATCATTTTTCTTCCAGATTAAGCCAAGATCTCTGGTTAAAGAAGGATAGAATTTAAAACATGTAAGGCATCAGGATAAAAGATTCTTGAGTCTCCAGCAAGTTTAACTATTTCCTGTTGTCTTAGTCCCTTACAGCACATCACACAGTGACTTCTCTTGGTTATGTATCTTGCTCCTTCATGACATTGGGAACATGCGTGATATGGGCACTCATTCACCCTGGCTGCTCCCTTAAAAGTCAATATTGATTTGGAAATAGACTGAGAAATGTTATGCCCATGCCCTTATTGAAGCATGTTAAATTCACGAAGAGCAAATGGCAAAATTCTGATAAAACCAGAAGACTGTCCTCATTTTCATTACATTTTTAGGGTGGAGAGAGACTAAAAGTTTCTAGTATATTCTGTTGAATCAAGTCCTGTAGTCTAAATCAAGGTTCTTAATGATGTTTCAGACCTTAAAAAAGGTGAAGAAATCCAGATGTGGGCACTTGAGGGGATGGCTCTCATTTCTCCTTTCCCTTTGGGTCACTTAGCAGTTTCCTCCCTGGTCTTTGACCATTACAAGGAGAAGGAGCTTTCTTCTCACATCGAATCTTCTCTGAGTTTTTCCAAACCAAGAAGAGGGCTACAGAAGGGTAGCATATTAGGAAGCACTTCCTTTCCCACTGTTTGGACAAGAAGGCCTTTTGAAAATTCAACTTGGCTCAGTGGATGGAGTGTCAGTCCCCAGACTGAAGGGTCCCGGGTTTGATTACAGTCAAGGGCACATACTTTATTTGCAGGCTCCATCCCTGGCCCTTGTCGGACGTTGGGTGGGGGGCGGGAGGGGGGAGGGGCCTGAAGGGGGCAACAGATTGTAGTGTCTCTCTCATATCGATGTTTCTCTCGGTCTCTCCCCCTCCCTTCTACTCTCTTTAAAAAAAAAAAAATCAATGGAAAAAATACCCTCGGTGAGGATTAACAAAAAAGAAAGAAAATACAGGATCAGATGATATTGGGCTATTCATACCACCTCAGCATTCAGTGCTTGTCTAAGGACCTGCTTCCTCCTCCCACTGGAGGAAATCCCTGAGCAGCCTGTTCAACTAGAAAATCGATGACTGATAGACTCTTAGTTGCTGGACTGGGCTTTGTAAACAAAATCTGCCTTTGGAAGAGAATGAGGAAAGCAGGGCATTTGAGTTAGCTCAGCTCGTAGAATTAAAATAATTGGCCTTACATGAGTACGCTTGCTTTTTTATTACTTTGGGGGTTTTTTTGTTGTTATTTTATGTGAAGGGCTTTAACCACGTGTTGTTGTAGGCAGCCTATAGTTGTTGAATACTATTTTGTTCATTGCTCTATTATCCTAAGCTAGTGGTTCTCAACCTTCCTAATGCCGCGACCCTTTAATACAGTTCCTCATGTTGTGGTGACCCCCAATTTCATTGTTACAAATTGAACATAATTAAAGCATAGCGATTAATCACAAAAACAATATGTAATTATATATGTGTTTTCTGATGGTCTTAGGCGACCCCTGTGAAAGGGTCATTTGACCCCCAAAGGGGTCGCGACCCACAGGTTGAGAACCGCTGTCTAAGCACTTTATAATTATGAACTGATTTAATTCTCAAGACATTATGAGGCAGATAATAGATGAAGAAACTGAGGCAGATTGGTAATTTGCCCAAGGACACATTGGAGCCAAGATTCAAAATTTGGCACTTTTTCTCCAAAGCCCATTCTTTAAGGACCACACGGTTTATAATTATTCTCATATGCAGTAGTTAATATCTACCCTTGAGTTACAGAAAGATTGAAAGCAGAGTCAGTGTTGCAGTTTTTCAGAGTATTATATCTTTGTCATCAGTTAGGGACTAACCTGCCTTTTCTTTTCTAGTGCTGAGGAATGTAAACAAGTTTGCTGGGCCTTGCGAGACTTCACTAGGTTGTTTCGATAGCTTACACTCCTGCACTGTGCCTGTCTCCCAGGTGAGTAGTATATAGTTCCCAGGTTTTCTCTGGCTGTCAGGAGTGCTTGGGGTGGACATAGGGGTGTTTTTTCTTTGTTTGTTTGTTTGTTTGTTTATTTGAATCCTCTCCTGAGGATATGTTTTTATGGATTTGAGAGAGAGAGAAAGGGAGAGACAGACAGACATCGATGCGAGAAAAAAAACATAGATCAGCTGCCTCCTGCACACATCCTGACTGGAGATTGAACCCGCAACCTGGGTGTGTGCCCTGACCAGAAATCAAATCCACGACCCTTTGGTGTACGGGATGGCTCTCCAACCAACTGAGCCACCCCGGCCAGGGCTGGACATAGGTTTTATTGCCCATCTTTGGACTAATACTAGCTAGAGTCAGGGAAGACCTAACAATTCAACACTTCTGGGCAGCAGGGAGATGCAGGCTCCTGATTTCCTTGGGCCAAGGTAACAGATAATTTTCAGTTACTTGGGATGCCATTTCACCCCCATAAGAAAGTAACTGTTGTAGAATATCTCAAAAAAATGTTCTTCCCCTCTTCTCCTCACAGACATTTCTAGGATTGCAAATATGTATAGCTAACAAACAAATAAGTATTTTTTAACCTGGCTACTTTGATGAAAACACTGCTGACCTAAACTTTACCATAATAAATGATATTACTCCTAAACCTGACCTTTCAGATTTAATGAGCAAAGTTGCTTGTTATTATCACTTTTGCAATTTGAATACTGAAATGCCAGGTTTTGATTGAGTCAGGAGATCTGCCATCTCTGTCTTCCTCCTGATCATCAGTTTTCTCTTTTGTGCTTCCTGAATCAAATCAAGAAGCTGAGCTGCGGAAAGAAACGACCGGGTGGTGGGATCTAGGTGCCAGTTTCTTGACTGAGAGAAGAAAGGCAACTCTCCTCTAAACCCATGCTTTGACGTCTTAAGCAGAATTTATTCTTCCAGGAGTCAGTCCTCCATGCCTGTACAGCACTCGCTGGGGGTTTGTGATTAAATGCATTAGTGGGTGAAGGTGCCATTCTACAATGCCTCACCACACCAGAAATCATTTCTATGCTTTGGTTCTTTAAGGAGTAGTGATATCACTTGCGATTCTTGGGTTTTGCCGTATCTATAAAAGCTAACATTGATACACATTGCTTATACAGCTGTGAGTGTTCATAGCTAACATTCATGGAGCCCTTACTATGTATCAGGTACTATTCTAAGTGCTTTATATGTAGTGTTTTTTGTACTGTTTTGTTGTTGTTGTTAATCCTCACCCAAGATGCTTTTCCATTGAATTCTTAGAAAGAGTAGGAGGGGGGTGGGGGGAGACAGAGAGAGAGAAACATTGATGTGAGAGAAGCACATCGATTGGTTGCTTCCCATGCACATCAACCAGGACCTAGGGATCAAGTCTGCAACCAAGGTATGTGTCCTTGACCAGAATCAAACCCGGAACCCTTCAATCTAAGGGCCCACGCTCTATCCACTGAGCCAAACTGGCTAGGGCTATATGTATTAACTAAGATAATTCTCATAAGTTCCCTAGGTTAGTTACTGTTGTTATTCCCATTTTACAAATGAGGAAATTGAAGTTGCAAGATGTCAGGTCAGTAATTGATAGGGCCACAATTCAAATAGAGATATTTGGGTGCCAGAGTCCTCACTTTTAACCACTCTATTTAATATTTTACAGTAGTATCCTTTCTAGGGAGTCCAAATCATTGTTTTTTAAACTTATTTTAGCAGGCAAAGCCTTCTTTTAAAATAAAATCTTAGCCCGGCATCAACCCATGAACCAGGAGGTCACAATTCGATTCCCAGTCAGGGCACATGCCTGGGTTGCAGGCTCAATCCTCAGTAGGGGTTGTGCAGGAGGCAGCCAATCAGTGATTCTCTCTCATCATTGATGTTTCTATCCCTCTCTCCCTCTCCCTTCCTCTCTCTGAAATTAGTAAAATCAATCAATCCATCATCTTACATGAAACCCTAATATTTAATAGACTGAAGAAGAGATTTCTGGTTGGTTTGGAGTTGGCATCCTGGACCTACTGGCTCACCTTTACCCTCTCTCCCGACCCTTACCCCCGCAACTCGCCCCTCCCCTTCAACTTCCTTCTTTTTTTTTACTGAGTTCTTATGACAGGCCAGAATGAGGTACCTGAGCAAGTTTAGAAACGTCTGCTTGACTTTATAAAATGCTCACTCTCTCCTGGACCACAAGTATTGACTATCTTCTCTCTTTTATAGGAATGTCTTTTTTAATTAGAAGACAAGAAGAAAATAAAAACCAGACTGTGTCCCACAATCAGAAACCTCCATTGTGGCAGAGGGGCCTTTACCGCCACCAGGGCGTCCCACCAGACAGGGAGAGACTCCAGCCCTCTGAGGCCATCCTGAGGAGTTCCTGTTTGGGGATGTGAGGGAAAATCAGCACCGTTTCTAAAAAGATGGCTGCAGCCTGTCCGGCGTGGTGGGAGGGGAGCTGGTTTCCTGGTGAACTTGTTTCTAAAAGGAAAATTAATTTTTAAGGAATAAAAAAGGAAAACTAAACTGAAACCAGAACTGAAACATCCTCCTGGTAGCATATGACACGCACACATACATACACGTACCTACACACACATGCTACCACGCATGTGCATATACAGAAAAGTAAAGGTACAAACTTTCTGTGAAACAAAAACAGTTACTTGGGGAAAATGGGAATTCGAGTGAACTATATAGCTGCAATTGGAAGACAAGAGTCACGATCACCTCTTAATGTTTTTTATTGTTTTGTCCTCTTTTTCTCTCTTCTTTCTCATTTCCCCTTCTCTTTTAATGAAAGTGAGTAGAAATTTTTTTCCATCCTCCCCAACTGTTGCTTACCACCTTTATAGAGTTCTTAGGACAGGGAGGAGTAAGCAAGGAGCCTTTTCTATTTTATATCATGGTCACATCAGTGATACTAGGACCTGCCAGGGCCAAATTCATGTATATCCCAACTCGCTGACTCCACTTCCAATCCACATTGGGTTATCAGCCATGAAGAAAAGAGCCAAAATTGGGGTGAGTGAGATATAAGTGTATATTCTAAGTTTTAGGGTTTTTGTTGTTGTTTTAGTTAATGTTTCACCCATAGACATGAGGAAACAAAAGAGGGTGGGAATGTGGAAAAAGTGTTTACAGGGCTAAACTGTATTTTACTAAAAATGTGGAACTTAATTTGACTTCATGGGGATGAGGTAGGAGCAGGAAGCCCAAAGCAGATCTTAATGTTCTAAAGGAGTTGCAGCCCCACACAGGCATTACATACGAGGGCACTGTTCTGTCTGGTGGTGTAGCCATCTCAAGAACAAATCAGCAACAGAAAAAAAAGAAAAGAAAAATAAATTTTTAAAATTTAATTAGTGTTTGTTTTCACTTCCTTTCACTGCCTCATAGTTCTGAAATGGTACAGCTGGACCACTTAGGTAAACTGTCTTAGTTGTTATCTGATAGTCGGGGATGAAGTTTAAAGGGCAGGCCTCTGCTTTAGTGCCACAAACCTTTCATATATATTTCAGGAGAGTGACTCATCCTGCATCTTCTAGTTCACCCTGAAACTCTTCATGCTAAATTTTATCTTTTCGTACAGCCTCAGTGGAAAAGAGAATGGGTCACTAAGCATATTAATCAGAAATGTGTATATTCTTTCCACAGTGGCCACCCAAGTTGTTTCCTAACCTGCTGAGTATTTGGTCTTTTAAAAAACAAAAAACAAAAAAAAAACACAAGCAAAAGAACGCCCGTAGTGAAGTATAATTGACATACTGAAAGCTGCACATAGTAAAGGTGTACTGATAAGCTTTGACAGAGGATACACCCATGAAATCAGGAACAATCAACGATAGTGAACCTATTCACTCCCAAAAGTTTCCTCATGCTTCTTCACCCACATGCCCAAATAGCCACTGGTCCGCTTTCTGTCATTGTAGATTAGTTTGCCTTTTCTTGAGTTTTTTGAAAATGGGAGCATACAGTGTGTTACAGTAAATTGGGGTCTGAGCTAATGATCTTGACTGCAGAGCTGCATCTAGTGTCTGAAATCAGTGAAACTGTCCAGCATAACATCAGTGGGACTCGGAGTTTACCCTCGAAAGAGGCATTGTTGGAAGGGGAGTGGAAAGCTTGAATGTGAAACAGTGTTTGGAGTGAGATTATCAAATTCTGGAGATCAGCACAATACCCCAGCCAGTCTTCTCATTTTCTGGGTAAACAAAATTTTTGAAGCCTGGTCCAATCCTAGATCCTTGCAACAGCCAGTTGACTTTTCTGTTTAAGGAATTCGGCTTTTATGACAAAAAGTTGTGTCTGGGACTGAAGAAAACATATGCAAGTCCCAGTACAACTCTCCAGCCACTGGAAAATAGCATGTGGCATGCACATCCTAGTTAATGCAGAGAACGTCCCCACAGGTAGAGCTTTGGAAACCAGAGCTCATCTCATTAACAGGGTCAAGGCCTCACTGTGTACTGTCTTACAGATTGTTTCAGAGTAGTTCTTACAAACAGTCATTACTTTCTGGTGTGGCAAGGATGCCCACACAGATTTTGATTTCAAAAGGAACTGTTTGGGATCAGGTACTCAATGTAGACATTGTGTTCCTGTATGACATTGTCTAGTGGAAGAAGAACTAGAGTCTTGCATCTGAACTTAAGTCAAAAAGTCCCCATATAATTGTTCCCTCATTTCCACAATTGGCTTAACCAAGAAATTTTAGTCATGATTATGTGAAACATATCCATTGGGGCTATTCCCAGCAAGATTATACAAAGAAAATGACTTAAAATTTAAAAAAAAAAAAAAAAATATATATATATATATATATATATATATATATATATATATATATATATATATTTGTATTGATTGCAGAGAGGAAGGGTGAGAGAGAGAGAGAGAAACATCGATGAGAATCATTGGTTGGCTGCACACCCCTTCCTGGGGACTGAGCCCGCAACCTGGGCATGTGCCCTTGACCAGAATTGAACCTGGGACCCTTCAGTCTGCAGGCCGATGCCCTCTCCACTGAGCCAAACCGGTCAGGGCAATAATGTAATTTTTATGCACCTGTTCTAGAAAGTTCAATACCGAGAGTGTAGGGTAAATAAGAAAAGGAACTTGAGTTTTTGAATGGCATCAACACCTCATAAATGGAACATATGTGTCCACCTTGTGTGGCCCTGGCTTAACTGAATCATTTTGCAAAAATGAAAGCCAAAATTCAGAGAAATTAAAAATCCAATATTATGAAACAAGGTATGCCTGATTATTTTTAGATACATTATCAGCAAATGAGAAAGTTGTTTCCAAGAACAGTTCTCTGATTGGAAAGTCCATCAATATCCTCTCCTGTTCTGAATACTGAAAAGTTCTTTATGTCAATGAAAAGCTGTATTAGAGGCAGGAGTTTTGAATTAAAAGGGACTATTTTGTTGGATACAAGGATGAACATTGTCAGGGAAACTACTGGGTGCTAGAGGAATGTGTTCATCCCCAAGGTCGTGAACATCAGTGTACTGTGGATCCCAACTTCAACACTAGCAGAGGTCACTAGCACAGTCAGGCCACTACCAAGCAGAACTCTAGCGTAGCTAGGAGCAGTGAAATCCAACAGCATCGTCCTGCCTTTAGCCTCTGGGATGGGTAATGCCTGTCACTTCTTTTGGGTAGTGTTCATGCACAACTGGCTACTACACAGATCTATGTAAAATGATAGCCACGTGTGCTGTTTCTGGTTTTGCTTTTATTTTTTAAGAAGTCAAAACGTAAGTAGACCCCAGGGGAGATTTTCAGCAACCACGAATTGCCTGCAGTATTGAAGTCCACCAGTGGTCACCTAGTGCAGATCTTCTAAGCTTCCATAATTCATCTGTTCAGTCTCCCTGCTCCACCATTTATTAAGGGCTGCAAACTCAAAGGCCTTTGGGACAAGGCGGTGAAAAGTGAAGCAGGCTCAGAGAGGATCACTGAACTGTGGGACATTCCCATCTAAAGTTCCAGCTGATTCTTGCTGCTAGGGAATGTGAGATAGTGTTTCTAAGTTTGCCAATTTTCTGAGAGAAGCTGGAAATCAGATATGTAACATCTAATTTTAAAGTGTTGACAACTAATTTCAATCTAAAGGGGAACTAGAGCTGCACAGGCCAGTGAGGAGAAAGGTGGCTGAAAAATAAGACTAGAGACAAAAAAGGAACTGTATGTAAGCACTGTTCTCTAGTTGGTAAAGTTTCTTAAAGAGCCTTGAGTTTAACGATTTTGAAACCTCTGTACATATGTGCAGTATGGAAAAGGGGCCGTGAGAAGTAGGGAGTCCCGGCTGCACACCAGTCCCCCAGCCCAGGGTTTCAGAGCCGGGAAGAGAAGTCCCCATAACTTTGGACTGTAAAAACCAGTAGGGGATGTCCTGGCTGGTTTGACTCAGTGGATAGAGCGTCGGCCTGCCGACTGAAGGGTCCTGGGTTCAATTCTAGTCAAGGGCACATGCCCAGGTTGCGGGCTCCATTCCCAGTAGGGGGCGTGCAGGAGGCAGCCAATCAATGATTCTCATCATTGATGTTTCTCTCCCTCTCCCTTCCTCTCTGAAATTAATAAAAATATATTTTTAAAAAACAGTGGGGTTTGTGGCTGAGTGACACAGAGGCTGCTGGAGTCCCAGGTGTTCCTCTTAAAGGGCCCCTGCACGCACTTAAACAGTCCTGCCTCCTCTGAGCTCCATTGCCAGGAGGTGGCTTTCAGGGAATCCAGGGATATATGGGGAGGAATGTGTTCACTGGGGACTGACTGGCATCAGGGCAGGAACTTGGGGGCAGCTTTCTCCCAGATAGGGGTGCTCACAGAGGTCATTGTTCATGTGCTGGGACCTCCCCTATTGCAGAGCTGACTGACAGCCATATCTGAGTTTCCATCAGCATGGCCCACACTGTTTACTCCACCTTGGTGATTCCCTGAGACCCTGCCCCATCCAATTTGCAGCCCCACCCAAGCTGTTTGTAGCTGTTTTTCCATATGAATGGCCTGTCCTGGCTGAGGTTTCAGACTGTTAAAATCTCTTAAACAAGCAGCAGCTGGAGTCAGCATGCCCCAAACTTATCAACAAAGGCCCAAGACCCAGCATTAGCACCAGTCTGCCTTGCTTCACAGCTGGGCCTGGCCAGGGCACTTTCTAGCCCAATACAAGTAGCCATCTGCAGATCTCTGGTGGCCCTAGGCAGTGACTGACTTTGCATCTCTTGTGAGGCCCCAGAGCCAGTGCACCCAGTGGACAGCTTCAGGTTACAACTGATTAAACCAGATTACAACTCTAAGTATCTACAAGCGATATACTCAAGGAGCAGACTCAGTGAGCACCAAAGCCCCACTGAAGCAAGTTCTGCTCCATAGGGGTGTCTCCTGCACAGCAGCTCTTCCATTGTAGACACAGCTGGTCCTCACAGCCAACTGGCCTGGAGTTCAGTTCCTCCCAGTGGTGCCAACAGCAATCACAGCTCAACTATAAGACTGTACACACAGCCCACACAGGGGCACACCTAGAG